TTAACAACTTAATAAGAAATGGCAGATAATTTATAATCTTACTGAGATAGAATAACTTAAGGAGCAATATTTTAGACTATACTTGCAGACTAATTTAATATAACTATAAAGAAATGACTTATTTTAAATACATTCATTATTATAATCATCTAAATCAATGAAATAAGAAATCAAATTAAAAGTGAATAAGCACTATTTATTTTTCGAGGTCAATTCCCGGCTATATGAGGGTCCGAAGGGTCTCACATAGCTGGAGATCTACCGGCTTATTTCCCCGCAATGCAGCAATGGAATGTCCTGACAGTAGCGGTAGTGATTTCTTTTTTGATCTACAAATTTCGCAATATTGATAACGAGATTAGTATGGTATGTTTTTAAAATATATATATTACACCCACTTACCATATGATTTGTCCAGATCTTCCGTAATTTCTAAAATACTTATTTTAAAAATCATTTCGTACGATCTGCTGTATGGATTGGTCATTGTGATAAAACAAGTAAATACCGTAAATTCATTTATACGTTTTGGAGAATCAGATTTACTCCCATAGTCATGAAAACTCATATTTTTAAGAATATACTGTACAAGGTTTTTTAGATAATAAAATTTATTATTATTATTTATTATTTGGCCTTTTCTAATATTTTTGATTACTAAAACTGATTGTCTAGATATATTTACATTACAGCAGTACAAAATATACACAAAATCATGTGAATGTTTGACCTAGCCCAAATAAACAGCCGTTATCGTTATAGATTTGCCCCAAATTTTTATTATGTATTTCCGGATCATGGCTTTATAAAAATAAAATTAATTTTATAAATTAAAAAATTTTAAATAAAAGTCCGGGCGGGTGGGTCTTTTTTTTTTTTTATGTTATGAGAACCAAAAAATTAACTTTATATAGCCTTATATTAAGCAACTTTAATTATTATTTTTTTTAATACTAAGTACAACTATAGTATATATTTTCTATTTCTAATATACTGTATATATATATATATTTGTTTTTTTTTTGTGAACATAAAATCGTAGTTTGAGAACACCTACTGTTCTCATGAGAACAATATTTGAATCTGAAATTTCGAACACTGGGTACATCTTTACATATAACTATGTACTTTTATATAACTTTATATAAAAGTGTATACATTCATGGACTTAAACACTGGACATCTGAAAAAAGCTTTTAGCAAAATATACAACACAGCCATACAATACTAACACTATTCTATTTGATCTCAGTTTGTTATTATTTAAACAGTTGACCACTTTTATCAAAATAAAAAGAGCGCGAACAATATAATTTATCATATTATTTCAAAATTCCCGATTCCGTGTGGTTAATCATACTGTAGTAATTTGGAAAGCGCAGTAATACAGTAATAATTAACCATAGCTGCCGCGGACTGGAAGATCCTCGATTTTGATTGGCTAACGGCCGAGGATCTTCGAAATTTTGGCCCACATTACAAAATTGGTTACTAATTTCCGGCCGGAATTAACTTTTTAATTTTTTTATTACAAAAATAGAAATTCTTAAAAAATAAGCCCGCATTATGGTAAAATTGACCCAGGAACAATTTTCACTTAATGGGCGGTTATGATTTCATTAGTAAAATTATGAGTAATTCCGGCCTAATCTTTTTATCGTCGCTCTTAGCTAATCAAAATCGAGGATCTACCGGTCCAAATTTGTTGTGGCAGCTATGGTTAATACAGTAATACGAATAATAATAAAATTAAAAAATAAATTTGTCACTCGATCATCCGTGTACAACAACTATGTGGGATCTCGCCTAGTTCCTAGTATCGTCAATCTATCCTATTTTATTCCCTTCTTTAATATCCGAGCTGTTCGGTCGGGCTGTCAAAGCACTTATCCGGGTTGTTCACCCGGGTTATCGATCATGTCCATAACTACCAAACACTCCCAATACAAACCACTCCCTTTGCCTGGTGGTGGGTGGGTGGGCGTTAATGATGAAGCTAGACTTGCGTCGAGCTAGCAGTAAAGACAAAAAAGGGAGAACAAATCTCTCTTAAATAACTATACTTACTATGACCTCATACTTACCATCACTCCATCGCACAATACATCATACAAATAATTTATACCCATCACTTAATCAATCAAACCGACACTCATAACACAATACATCATACTCACAAATCGCTTACCCTCACAAATTGCTCATTCGATGTCATGGATATGGGTCATGATCTCGTGACAAATGGATGTCTCGTGACTTCGTTCACGGCATCTCATATACGTAAAAGAGGAAAAAAACTAATTTGAATACCTTAGTAACACCTATCAGAACATCTATACTTAAATCAATAAATGGACATGAATAACTTTTAAATACTTAAACTAATAAATATTCTTTATACTCAATCTAAAACTAAAAGTAAATAATAAAAATTCATGAAGGTAAATAATATCTTATTTAAGAATAATAAACGTTTCTCATACACAAACTAAATAGGACATAAATAAATGGCTTATTTCGAATACTTGATAAAATGTTTTTTGCACTCACAACCTAGAATAAAATTAAATAGCATATTTTTTATTACTAATACCCGGGTAGATATTTTCTTGACGGGTACAATTTCTAACCTATATTAACAATTAATAAATGTTTCTTATACTTACATAATAAATTATCGCGAATAATTTGAAATTAAATAGTAAATATTAATGAACATGAATAGCTTACTTAAATACTTAAATTAATAAACGCTTCTTTTTTTTTAATAAAAATTTATTAAATACTTAACTCCTTTGATCAAATGCCTTCGCTCTAGAATCGTTTCAAGTAAATGAAATATTCTTTTAGTAATTATAACTTCAGAGTAGCAACCTTTTAGTGTGTTACCGGTATAGTATTCATTACCTTTCATAAAAGTTAGTGAGACTTCTGCACATAAATGTTATATTATTTTAATGGTACACTAAAGTTTTTTGAAGTAAAAATTTTAAAATTTTTTTTGAAATTTCAGCCAAATTTTTTTTAAAATTATACCGAATATCTCCTGGGTATACATCCCGTAGAAATAATTGCGCCATAATTTTTACCTGAATTTTGACATGCGGCAATGCTGCAACTTTTGATCAATGCCTAAAGTCATAATAAATAATGATAATGTCATATTAATCATCACATACTATAGCTTATATTTATTGCATGTGAATTAAAAAAAATTACCATGTACCGATAGTTATTTCCTTGTGACGATTAGCAAAGCTAGCCGAATGTAATGAAATATAATTGATATAATGCCGAAAGTAATGAAGTATAAAGTATAATTGATATATCATCGATTGATGTAGTGATTTTAATGTAATAAACCCAAAAAAAGGATATTTATTTAAATACTGAAATAATTCGATTTATAAATTTTTATTATCTTTCTAAATAACAATAATTCAAATTTGTTTTCACCAAATTTGAAGATCATGGAATTCGATATTGAAGCTTTGGTGGATAACTTAGAGATTTATTGAGCATTGTTAAATTGACGATTTGATGGATAACAGATTATTAAATTGACGCTTTGGTGAATAACTTAGTGATTTGCGCATTAGTAATAATAAATAAAAATTGCTTTTTTATTGCTAGTTCTTATATATTATACATATTATAGCGATAGTATAATTAATAATTATTACGTATAAATTACGTAATTACACTAATACAGTAGCAAATTGCGGCAATTAATTTAGATTATGATATATGGTTTGGATTTCGGCTTTTATTTCTGATTGCGGCACAACAGAAACCAATTTCTACAGCATCGTATCTTAAGTTACCATCTATCTGAAGTTGCAACTTTAGATATATAAAGTTGACCTGACTAAAATTAAGCCCCTGAAATTAGATCTTCATGCATATAATTCTGGTTAGGTGCAACTTAAAGTTGCAACTTCAGATAGATAGTAACTTTAGATACGACATAACTCCTGGGGCCTGAAACAAACGACTTTTGATTGGATGTTTAACCAAGCAGTTTATTGGTATCGTCAAAAGAACCCAATAAGTTTGAAGCCCCCGATTTATATTTTAAAACTGGGCTACAACTTAACACAGCACTAATTTTGAAGGTAGTTTATTCGAAATTTTTGTTTAAAATGGTGTATTACATGCCATTACGTGTTAGTAGAGAGATTAAAAAAGTTTTTTTTTTATCATTAGATCATTGGACCTTCTCATTTGGTGGTAGCCAATTCTAGTTATAATGATCTTCATTGGAACGGACCAACACACTGACATGTTACACAAACTTTTTAAAAAATATACCATTGTGATAATTTGACGTACGTATTGTCGATTTAAATCAAATCTGCCACAAACAAATCAATACGTAATGTCATTCAGAAATTAATAATTATATAATATAAATAAATGTGGAACGATTAGAAATACTTCTTATTATATAACCGTTCTAAATTTTCCATATTTATTCTGCAAAAAGAAGCTCGTTGAAGCAAAAACATGTGAAGCATATTTTTGATTGTAGACCAATTTTACAACTATCGCTATGCGTAATATCGATAGATTTCCCTTGAGGTTTACTAAGTGTAACGTAAAATGCTATTTTCTCAAAAAGGATTCAATTAATTCAAATTTAATTTATCTATAACCCGAGTCCAACAATTAGAATTTCGTTGTTGAATTCTTTTGCCGAGACGACAAATTTGGTGATATCTGATATAGCAAACTGATAAATATTATAACTACGATATTTTAAAATTTTTACTTGCAGTTTATTTATCAGCCATTTTACTTTTAAATATATGACTATCAGATTAAATCCAGCCAATAGCTAAAAGGTCGCATCTCCAATTTTGACAATGATCTACCAGGGAATGACATAGCTATTGTATATGACTTATTATTTAATGATTACAACTGGTCTTTCATGACAGTAATATTCTTCGTGAAGATTCACTAATTCTCTCCTTTAAACCATATATACTGAAAATACAATGAGTACGCCACCCCAATCTTCAACACCACCGCAATTCATTGAACAAGTTCCTTTATCATCTAAGCAAAAAAATAAAAATCTCAAGAATGAATTAGTTATAAAATTAATTGAACCTACAATAATATTCCGTGGAGAATCGCAAGAAGCTCCCGGTGTATTTTTAAGAGGTGATCTGATTTTGAACTTAAGCAAACCAACAAATATTAAAGGAATTGAAATGGAATTTGTTGGAAAAACAAAAACATTTTGGGTTTCAGGTATTATTATGATGTTAATATTTATTTTAGTAAAGCCTTTCGTTTCGTTCAACTTTTTAATATATATATATATATATATATATTATATGTATACATTTGAACAGATGTTAAACACGATCAGAATATTCATTCGGAAAAACGAGAAATTATATTTCATAAGCGGCAGTTCACGATTCCGCAAGCTAATGAATCACTGTCAATATACGAACATCCACGTCATAGTATTTTCAGTATAAAACAATCACCATCCTCGCATCATGATCATACAAACATAGTCCCGGCGGGCATATATACGTTTCCTTTCGAAATTTTACTCTTAGGAAGCCTTCCAGAGACTATCGACGCAGATTTAGGTCATGTGCAATATCGATTAAGTGCACAAGCGCATCGTCCGGGTTTATTACCGAAATTAACAAAAAAAATCAATGTCGAGATTATTAGAGTTTTACCGGATGATGTTGACTCGCAAGGAATAGCTTTGTCAAAAGATTACGAGGATATATTAAATTACGAGATTTCAATTCCAAAGAAATCTTATCCTCTTGGCCAAGTCATTCCGATAGAAATTAAATTAATTCCTTATGTCAAAAAATTAAAAATTCACGGATTACGTACTAAGCTTTTAGAAAATATCGTTTACAGAGCTCAAAATGAAAATTTCGAAATCACCAAAGTCGTTGCAACACTTGACGTTGAAAATTTTGGTCATAATAATCTATTGCAAGAGATAAATGATGAAGATATAGGAGATACAAGTTACCAAAGCAATTTCAATTTCCTATTACCCAATTCTAATAATAAAATTCATTATACTTGTAATACGCCTTTGATTGATGTAAAACATATATTGGAGTTTTATATCATTGTTACTTTGCCAAATAATGAGACCAGAACAAAACTACGAATTGAATGCAACATTAATCTGGTTTCTTGTCTGGTTGTTGGCCAAAATTTTATTTTACCGAAATATGAAGAAAGCTTGTTATTCTGCCCTTGCAATCCTGATTATCAACGAATTGCAAGACTAGTAATAGGTGATATTGCAGAGGACAAGCATTGCCGTTGCGACGTGGGTACAAACGAAAATCTGCTAATGGAGACGCATTGTAATTGTGATCACTGTGAGGACAGTTGTAAATGTTTGCCTCCAAATTATGATGAGGCTCAAATGTAAATAAGATAAAAATGTTTTCATTTAAATTTATGTTTTTTTTATATTCTTTTTAAGCCCTAAGGTTTTATTATGTATATATTAAGTTTATTTGAGAGCTCTCAGACCATTCTTTATTATACTTCCTCAATAAAGGTTATGACATACCAGTATTTATGTGCATTCACATATTTTGAATCTTTTTTTTTTTTTTCAGAATTCAATGTCAATCATAAGTTATGAACTATTTTATATTGACATACTACTAATTAATCTTTAGAAAATGTGACTTATTAAAGTTCTTAAAATTGCGATCACAAAGTTATTCGTATTGTTTTTTTAAATTTGTTCAAGGATATCACAAATGTTTATACAGAGATAATGACTTGATTCAAATAATTCGAGCTTAAATTTTCGCGATTCGAATAATTCGAATTCAATCACATGATTCGAGTACTTTAATTGATCACGTGTTGAGGCTAGTCCAGTCGCAAATTGTTCTCTTAGAATAATAACGATGATCACAAAAACCTGTTAAAGGACAAAATCATGTGAAAAATGCAATATTACCGTTACATGAACTTACGTAAGTTTCAGTTAATCAAATTTCATGCGATTTTCACCATCACCCAGTATTATTGCATCATTGATGATCCACAAAAATTTTATAACCCCATCGATATGATATGTAACCTCTAATGCTAAAGATGTCCGAAAATTGGTATCAATCGAATGTTTTTGATTATATAACCTCTATAATGAGGAAGATCTTAAGATAAGGCCGATGTCAAATAAACTTTATATTAAAAAGATACGGAGATAAGGTTTAGACAATTGCGTATTTCAGGTTTCCACTCCTGCGTTAGCGCACGCCAAAATCATACGATCTAATTTTAAAAACTTGAACATATTACAAGGAAACAGGATTTTTTTTACTAAGCCCAATCGAATTTCATCTACTGAGTTGATCGAAATGTCATTTTTTAAATTTTGATGCAATACAGATGACTTATTTTGTTATACGTTTTGGTGTAAACCCAATTTTTACGCCAAAATGTATAACGCCAAAATTTGAAAGTAAAGGATGGAATTTCGATCAACTTTACTTAGTAAGTAAAGTTTGATTTACTTAATGAAAATCCGAAAAATCGTCAGGGTAAGATTATTTGAAATTAAAAATCGTAATCCTTAAATAACATCACATAATTTATATAAGGTGTAGTATCACAATAATAAAGAAAGTTAAAAGGTATAATTTAGGACTATTTGGTTAAATATATATATATATATCTGATACAGTATAACATACAAATAAAATAGCGTTATACAGTAACCTCAATATCTATATTAACGTCACCTGTTGCGTGATTTTTTCAGCAGAACCATCATTCGCATCAAGATTGTAACCATTTATAGATAAAAACATTAATTCTTAATGATGCTCTCTTCAAGGATAGCAGTCATTTTAAACAGACAGAATCGATTAAGCTTCTAAATAATAAAGCAAACCCAGGGGATTATTCATCGAGATTTAAAAAGCATGAATGTCACGAACATATTTTTGCTCATTAGGAATAACTTTTGGAATGATTCACCACTATTTTCACTTGTCTCGCAGTCTCCTGTAGAGATTTCGATTTTTGCAAAGAGCGTATTTGCCATTTCTCTTTGCAAATCTTGCAAGGCATATATTCTATGACATATTATGGCATCAATAAGAATAAAATGAAGAATATAGGTACCATATATAAGAATTAATAGTTAATTTCTGTACTTAAGAATTTTCCCAACTTTTCTGTGTTTGAGGATGGACCAAATTCGAGAGGCATTAGATAATTTTGACGTCTGTATCGTCTTGACAAGCCTTTGTGCAATTATCAAACATTATGTTAAGGAAAAAACAGTATTAGAGTTCCAATCCGGATAATTCAAATCGCTCAGATATCCAGATAATCCGACAGGTATTCGGATAATTATCCGGATATCAATGGTAAACGAATATAAAACGGATGTCCGAATAAATTCAGTTCTTGATATCGTCTTACCCGGGTCAGACGAAAATTCACAAAGTTTTTGAAGTTAATCCTTAAAAGTTGATATAACGACTCTTAATTAGAGCTGTTAGTATAGAGAACAGCCTGACTCCAAATATTTCAACTGGAGTTTTTCGAATTTTTTTATTGAAAATTTTTCGATCTTGCCCGTTATTTGAGTTCGTTCATTTTCTACTTCGGGAAATACTTGACCCTAAGAAGCTGACCCGCACAGGTCAGACGACCCGGGTAAGAGCTTTACTATTTAGTAAATTATAATGCCTTCTACCCATATAGTTATATTATTAAATTGCATTTTAGTAGGTTTTTGCATATTTTGAATTCTGACCCGTTTGACCCGGGTTAGAGCAATTTTCGACCCGTGACCCGTACGGGTCACTCGACCCGGGTAATAGCTCTATATCCGATGGATAAATGGATAAACGAATAATGGATAGGACAGTATGAAAACTTCAATATTTACTTTGGAAGAAATGCTCCATCTTGAAAGAAAGTCAGGAAGACGCATCAGGCCAAAAAAAAATCAAATGTAGAAATTTGCATCAGATCGAATTTGAATACTGAGTATTAGTATTATCAGAATTAGGGTAAACCTTATTTTAGTGTAAGAGTAGATATAAGCGACATTATAATTAATTTAATCTGACAAAATATTAATTTGACGTATACGCAATTGCCTTAATATGCAAATATATATCAAGATGTTCGTTTTTAGATCACATAGGTATCTAGAGGTTTGATCCGTTATTGCAGTCACGATTTGTATTATAGGTAGGGTTGTTATGTGGTCCGGTCTTAGACTAATAGACCATAGTTAGTCTTAAGACCGGTCTGGACCTAAAAAAAATTGGTCTGTTAAGACTGGATCGGTCTGGACCGATCTAGACTAGCAAAGTTTTAAGGAAGAAGACCATAATAGACCAGACTAGACTTGGACCAAAATTGACCAGACCGGACTGTTAACATCCCTAATTATAGGTATCATGTTTTTAATTTTCTCTTTTGTACATATTACTATTTATTTTATTTTATTATTCTTATATTTGTTGTTATTTTTAAACTTATGTTTAGAATAAATTCAACAAAAGTACTGTATATAAGAAATATTTTCAGGAGAACGGTGCCAATAAAGTAACTAATAGAAAAATAAATCGATTCTTAGTATTAATTCATTCAAGACATTGAAGAAATGAAGGCTTATTAGAGAGAAAATAAACTTTCAGCATGACAAATTATAGGGGCATTTATTTTTATTTATTTATTATCATTTTTTATTGAGTTTTTATTTATTTATTTTTTATTTATTTATTTATTTTTTATTTATTTATTTATTTTTTATTTATTTATTTATTTTTTATTTATTTTTATTTATTTTTTATTTTTTTTATACAGTTATTCTCCTATTCAATCACATAGTTGGGCACATAGTAATTTTTTTAAACTGTGCTTATAAGAAGTCGTGCTTGTATAGAGGTTTTTTTTTCTTATAAATTAAATCATATGTAATTATATGGAGGCAACTACATGGAGGGTTGACTGTATTTTTTTTTTTTTTTGAAACAACATTTCAAGCCAGATTTATAGATTTCCTTCGGCCGCACTTATTAAATAACTTTATAGTTCAAATTCAGAGTATCTAAATAAAGGTCCAATTCCGCAAATCCGCCAGAATGAATAGATTGGAAACTTTGATTAAAATTTAAGATCCGTATTTCATACGTACAGTACGTACTGTATCATGAATTTTGAAGATCAATTAATCGTTATCTGTTATAATTACCAAGCATTATTTTGACAAGGTTTTTTTTTTTTAATCGAACATTCACTGAGGCAAAAACATTGTTTTTGACCATTTGACCCTTTTTTATTGATCTGCCTTAAAAAGATTTACATCAGTTTTAATCAATGTTGGGGATGAGGCTGAAATTTGGGGTTATATTTAAAAATATGAATTCTAAATAGTTCCCTACCATATTACGTGTATATGTTATTTTATGAACACCTTCATTATAATTTCCTGCATGACCAGGAATCTTCGGTGAGAAGATATGAAAATTATAATGAAATTGGTCATGAATAACGTAAGGAGGGGATTATTCATTTACACATGTCGAATAAAGGCAAATCAGACACCAATCGACATCACGTAATCCTGATATGAACCTAATTTTAAACAGATATTTGGCGCAAATAGGAGCTTTTAAGATACAAATCGGGTTCATATAGGAGTTCAATACATATTGGTATGCCGATAGCTCTATAGGTAAATCGAAAAAGCTATAAGGCAAGCTTTATCGATTAACCTATAGAGCTATCGGCATTCCGATATGAATTGAACGCCCATATGAACCACCAAATATCTGTTTCAAATCAGGTTCATATCAGGATTACGTGATGCCGATTGGTGCTTGATTTACCTTCATTCGACCTGTGTATTTTCTGTGAGGAGTTTAAAGTTACAATAAAGGGAATTCCATACAAGACCATCTGTATTCTATAACCATCGGGAATCTCTGTTGAAATTTTAAGCACCCAGGAAATGAATAATACTGAACTCACATATTGTTACGGGGTGAATTGTATCCTTTATACGAAAAGATATAAGTTTAGGTGATAAGGCAACTTGCCAGAGGCGTGACGTTGGTGATTTGACAATAATTTAATTCATTAAATGATATTATCAAAGTGATTTATTCAATGTTTTAGGTAATTAGGGATAAATCACATCTTCTATCATTAAAGAATCAAGGGGAAAATCACTATAACTAAGGGGCTTACAATAATAATTATAATAAGTTTCTACTATCGAAGTCTTTGCTTCATTTATCTTTAAGATCTTCTCTTTTGATCTTCGTTTGTTCTTTTCTTCAGATTTCATGTTGGTTATCATTTCCGATATTTGGTCAGTAAGCCTCATCTAATAGTCGATCTGGAATTTCAGTGGTAAATCCACTTTAGTCACGAGTTTAC